TAAGGTTATTCTAATTCTAAGTCCATTATATAAAAAGGAAAATCGCAATGCAGGTAGTCCTTGACTTATAGCAGTTTGTTTAGTGACTGTTCGAAATTACAGTGGTACTGAAAAAAGTGACATGACCATTTTCACACTTATGACCATTGCAGCATCCCCATGGTCATGTGATCAAAGTTCAGACATTTAGCAACTGGCTCATATTTATAGGTTGCAGTGTCCCAAGGTCACGTGATCACCTTTTGTGACTACCTGACAAGCAAAGTCAATTGAGAAGCCAGATTCACTTAACAGCCATGTCACTAACCTTAACAACTGCAGTGATTCACTTAACAACCATGGCAAGACAGGTCGTAAAATGGGGCAAAATTCACTTTAAAATGTCTCACTTAGTAATATAAATTTTGGACTCAATTGTGGTCGTAAATTGAGGACAACGTATATAGTTTAAAACTGGTATATTTCAGCCAAATACTAACCATAGTTAGTAAAAGAGAATGTGGGATACAAATTTAAATGCTAAGCCACTTACCCAGCTTGGAAACCTCAGTCTGAGGTTGTTTGGTTTAAAATGCAGTCTAAATAAGGCCATACTAATTCGGAGTGGAGAAACTTTGCATTTAATTAAATTAATACTCTAAGCATCTATAAAGTGTAAAGAGCATGGCAACCCAAAGTCAATTAAAAACATGTTCCATGTCCATGTTGTGTTTTTGGAAAGGGTGTTTTGATGAAGACAACTATGATCAAATTTCCTGAGCTGGAAGATGCAGAATTAAAACATTCAAATAGAATCTTCATTCAGGACTGGTTCCTGATATCAAAATACCCCCTCACTAATAATACCTACTGGATACTTAACACTAATATGTTAGGCAGAAATCTTTTGTTAGAATTCTCCCATCCCAGCAGTCTGAAGTAAAGAACAGTAGCTCATTTGCCTATTTCTGAAGATATTTCAGTCTTGGTTTTAGAATGCTGATAACCTGGAAGTCTGTGGTATAGTTAATATCTATCTCTTTGTCAAAACACACTGGTATCTGAACTTGTTTCTGAGAAGAAAGCTAATCAAATGTAGTTGAGATTTCTATTCAAAGAGTTTTTCAACATCTTTTTTATATATAAATTTACTGAATGTTTTAAAAACGAGTAAAAATTAATACAAACTAAAATAGAATAAGAAAAGAAAAAATAAATAAAGGAGAAAGCTAAGGTACAAAAAGAAAAAAAAAAGAAGAAAAACAGAAAAGAAAGAAAAAAAGATATAATGAAGTGGCTTCCACTCTTCTTTACATCAGTTATAACAGTAAATGTAACCTCTTTCTCTAAAGTTACAACACGACTCCTCTTTCTATAATGTATCATATCTAATTGTTAAAACCATAGATCATAAATTCATTTTTTTTTAAATTACGCAAAAAGTCCACAAGGGATTTTGAGTTTTGAAACATCTGATGAAGGCCAAGACTTTTCAAAACTCTGTTTTCCCAAAGAACCACCCGCAATCTGAATTATTGCTTGCTAATGTGTAACATCGCTTTATTCCTATGACTGTTCATATTGCATAGATTCAAGTTGCATCATTTCCAAGAAGTTGGATTTCCCGGACTTGTACAGAAGTGTTATCTCATCTTTCTTTTATCTCACCTTTCTTTGTATGCTTTCATTAGATGTGGAACAAATGGCTATTGACTGGCTTACTGGCAACTTCTACTTTGTGGATGACATTGATGACCGGATATTTGTCTGCAACAAGAGTGGGGTCACCTGTGTTACACTGCTTGACGCGGAACTCTACAATCCTAAAGCCATTGCACTGGATCCAACAATGGGGTAAGAATCCATATAAGTACTTTTAGATGAAAACTAAATTGTTTTCCTCCTTTGTTTCCCCCCCCTCCAAGTCCACAGTTCCTGAATGCCTTTTAATCTGTTGGTCAGTTATATCAAATGCCAGTTTTGTTGTTGTTAGTTGCGAAGTTGTGTCTGACCCATTGCGACCCCATGGACAATGTTCCTCCAGGCCTTCCTGTCCTCTACCATCCTCTGGAGTCTATTTTAGCTTATACCCATTGCTTCGGTGACTCCATCCAGCCATCTCATTCTCCTAATTCACCTCATTCTCTGTTTATCATAAAATGCCAGTTTATTCCAAACTAAAACTTTGAATCCTGATTTACTTGCAGATGGCAGGGTTGGCTTGGTATGCCAACTGATATTTGGGTAATACAATACAATAGCAGGGTTGGAAGGGACCTTGGAGGTCTTCTAGTCCAGCCCCCTGCCTAGGCAGGAAACCTTATACCGTTTCAGACAAAT